ACATACACACAGGGTCGTCCCAATATGCGTTTTTGCAATTTGCATATAGGCAAAAACGCATAAAAAGGCCGACTGCAATCAATACGTTTTTGCAAAATTTTCCACTCGTTTTACTGAATTTTACAGTCACCCGGCGTCGTTCAACTGATTTTGAAGAACCCTCAACCTCACTGCAGTTCCTTGGCCGTTTCTATGCCCCAGAATCAAAGTCTTTACAGGACATAGGAGCCTTATCCACTTTTGACACGTTACCGTGCACCTGCTTCTGGAATATCCTAAATTAAAGCGAGTCCTAAAAGCTTCTAGTGGAGTGCGCATTTGTTCTGAGTACATTCTTTTTTTTCTAGTATCCCCTTAAGCAAGCACTGTAACTTAAAATATTAATGCTTCACCAGAGGGTGTAAAGGAAGCTGGAAGGGGTGCTGCAAAAGAAGTGTAGAAATAGTCTGAGAAAAGTGAAATTGTTAGGTGAAAATTTTAATTCGATCATATTCCGCTGGAGCCGAGAAGTAATTCGCTGTTGAGAAAATTGTTTTGCGTGATTGTGATTGGTTGCTAACGAATTTTTCCTAGCACCATTTCACTTTTTTATGCCAAGTGCTGGAATTCAATTAAAGCCGAGCGCTTTCCAAAGGATTAAGGAAATATAATTTCACTTTAAAACGATTTCCCACGAAAAATACCCTGGCAGGTGTTTCTGCTATAAAATACTGGTCTTCAAGCCAGTCGCTGAACTTCTAAATATAAAAATAATTGCAGATATGAAAAGTCAGTCAGAGGCATTTCTCATAGAGATCTAATTTTCCAACTCCTCTAGCTTTCACCTCCATATCCTCCACCGTCCCGCAGACACAGTGCACTGGCCTGCCTGAAAATTTTGATTCCGATTCTAAGAAATTTACCGAGGTCAGATTTTTGCAACTTAGTCCATCAATATGAATGGATTTCCACACAAAACGAAGGTTCTCGGGCTACTCTCACATACGAATTACGTCAGGGGTATTTGGGTGAGAAACAGTTTCGAGCACCAATTAAGTTGAACGTTTAAAATCTTATGAAAGTGCTCTCTGTCCACATATGTCCCATGAAAATCTAAAAACTTTTCCACATAATCTATGAAGGCTAACGAAAATAGCCTTTTATGCAACTTAAAGCTTATGGCCCGAAGTTTCACGTTGTATGCAGAAAGTTACACGCCGCTACGCGCTGACCAACTATGATTGATTTGTGAAGGACGAATTCACAGATTACTTCTTGAATTGTGTACTGCTCCAATTCAGTGAGTAATGCCGCTAAGAATGCTCCGGACGACAAACAAATGTTGATGCGGTGATTTTATTATTTTACATGGCAATGACCATGCTTTATTTGATATTTACAATCCTTCAGTGTTACACAGCTGCCTCACTGCCTGTTTTCAACGAACAAATCATCTAATTCTTTTCCAATGTGTACGAGAACTAGAGGCTCGATAACTCTTTTGAAAAACAGATTGTGAGGAGAGGGCTTGCTATTGTGCTTTTAACCTCGCTCGATTTTTATATTTTTATTATCTTTTTTTTTCGAAATTTAAAAACAATCACAAATATAAGAAACGATTCTGGATAATTTCCGTAGTACAATGTGACAGAAAAAACAAAGAAAAAATAGGCCATTAATCGCAAATGGTGAAAAACTCTAAAAAAAAAGTCGAGATCATTTAAAATGGAAATTTAACTTTTTAAAAAGTCTTGAAATGCATAAAAATGATATAAACCATATTCACACTACAATAAAGTAAGCACGCTGCAGAAAAACAGGCAGCGATTACAAAAGAACTAAGAAAAAAGTAACGAATGATAACAAATTATGTTAAAAAAAAGTACAAATCGTCTGCATTAGGACGCAAATCAGCTATCAAAAATAACAAGTTATATCAAAAAAAAAAAAATCAACAAAAAAGTAGAAAATAAAGCAGAAACTTGTAGAAAATACAGAAAATAAAGTAAAAAATATCAAAAAATACCAACCAGCTACAAAATCAGCCACAAAATCAAGAGAAAATATCAAATTTTGACATTCAAATTAACGGCTAATACGATACGAAATAAAGAAAATGGGCGAAATTAAAACATACATTAGTCTGATGCTCAACCGCCATCTTGTCAATGCGTGATATTAAGTTGCCCACGTAGCTGGCAACTTCAGCACAGCGATGCGACGATGGTAGTAGCATTGCGCAGTCAAACTACTGGTACTCCCGACGGTCACTCCCCTAACTGTTTTTTGTTGTTACAAATTGGAACGCTATCATATTCCTTCTCGGACCCCGCCATGCAACAACTCACCCATCCCAGTCTCACGACGGTTGTTAGAACCATCACTCGTATGAATAAATGTGAAAAAACCGATTGTATGGCAGAATACATCGCTAATTATACTAACAGTAAAAACTCGAAGTCAAAGCCGCCTCCATAAACGCTCTCTATGAAAAGCAGGTGGCAACTCGTTCATTAACTGGTGCCAGCAGCAACTAGGCACTGGCAAGCCTGCTGATGGCTTCCTCTTTTGAGAGTTCCTGATGACTCTCTCTCTCGAATTCTTGAAAGCAAGCTAATGGCGGATTTGACTTTCTGACAAATGCCGATACCAATTTAACATCGAAATGAATGAACGAATCGCAGAAAGACTGATTATCCGACCGGCGGAGTGCACGATAATAACAGTGCTATTTCTCACTGCACGATAATCGCCCATCAACTGCAATAAGAGCTGATAAAGTACAGAAACATTATTTCAGCAGCAGTGAAACTGGCAGTGATTGTTCCGTTAGTTCACAGCGCCCCACCAAAAAATAGCTTGCCCGGCGATTCGCTATAATGTCTTTACTGATCTGTACATAACAGTCATCCACATACTCGTAAAGACAAAATAAAAATGTGCTGAAGCTGGCGGTAACACCACAGTCGGAAGGAAAATCACTAGTCAATAACAATAACGTCACTATCTTCTTTCGCAGCGAACTCTTCTGGAAACACCAATCGGAAAAGAAAACCAAGCACATTTATGTTTCGATGAATTACGGTTCTGCAGGATTCGCGGAATAGCGTCGGATCACCCTGAAAAAAAATTTTTTTTCTCCCACCAGTAAAGAACTCATGGCAATTTTAAAAAAATTTTCGATGAAAATTTGCTAAAGAACTGCTAATACTTAAAGATAGAACATAAGGTGTAAAGTCTTTTTTTTTTACAGCGAACGGTTTTTTTTGTTCAACTTCATTTGAACCCTCCCTTTATACGCGGCACACCACTAATAACAATATTCTCACATTCTACAATGAGGTATTTACAAAATGTGACGGACAATGCCTATAGACATTTGGCAAGTTAGCGATCCCATGTGTGTTTTCAACTTAACTTACCAGTATGGGATCGATGGAAGAATTCAACGAATTATCGAAAGCATCATCTATTACACTCTCTGCATCTACTTCCAAAACACTCTGAAAAAAAAAGAAAAGCTCTAAGGCAACTGTAAAAATATTTGCACAGAGTTAGAATGCCTTCACATATATTAGTTAAATAAACGGAAGGAAGTAGAACAAATCAAATTAAGGTGACAAACTGTGCCGAGCAATAGAAAGTGACTGAAAATGACGTAAAACGTTAAATCAGGTTGGACAGTTAGTGGATTACAAAACACTTAAATGGAGGAGCAGTAGCCAGGGCAGTGGGTCCGTGCAATTAACGGAAAAAATTTTCTTAAGAATTCGTATTTTTAATATTCATAGGTTGTGACTTGTAAAAAACCATTCCTCCCCTCCCCCCCTCCGCTCCCCCGCGGAAAAATAAATCGAGGAAAACAGCCCCTTGCAAAATAGCTTCACTGGCGTCATTATGACCATCCCTCTAAAACCGCTTCCAAGGAATCCCTCAGTGACACGGTTGGGAATGCGAATTTTCATCAGCTGGATTTTGAACGCATCGTCAACCAACCAGGTATCGACCGAAATGCAAAAATTTTAAACATGGCGATAATGCGTCAAAAAATAAATGGGCTTTTGACTGTAACTGAAAGATACAGGCGGAAACATGAGCAGAAGCGAATGGATAACATATGTTTGATTCCTTTTATTATGCGTTTTGTGCTCTGTGACAGCAGAACAAAACGCATATTGTCACGGGGTTGTCCGTGTGTTTGTTTGTTTGTGTGTGTGTGTGTGTGTCCGCAGCAACTTGCCCGCAACTTTCAACTCGGGAACCACAAAA